TATATATATATTTACCGATGTTACTTTTTTGGTTTAGATATAAGAACATGCTCATGTTAGGTACTTACATAAATTGTTACATTATTCTTTTTCTTATGTACTATTTTTTCGTTTGTGTTTTTCAAATATGTTCTTTCCTTAAAAAAAGACCAGCAGAAATCAGCAGTACAATTACAAAAACCATTCTGTATATGTACTTAGATATATCTTTTTCTCTTCTTTCATTTGTCTTTTTCCTTCCCATTGAACAAATCTCTTCTTTTCACAGATTTTAATTATTGCTTCAACTTCTGACACTAGAGAGATAACATGATGTTTGCACATGTGAATCTGATTTATTTCATTTAACAATAGCTACATCCATTCATCTACAAAAGCCTCAAATTTATCTTTTTGATAGCTGAATAGTACTCCATTGTGTAAAAATACCATATCTTTTTTTTAATCCATCCCTGGATAAAAAGTTGATGGGCATTTGGGTTGTTTCCAAGATTTAACTATGACAAATTGTGCTGCTATAAACATGGGAGCACATATATTGCTGCTGTGTGATGATTTCGACTCTTTTTTTTAAAAAAAAAAAACACCTAGGAGAGGACTAGATGGCTTGAATGGGACCGCCAATCCTAGCTTTTGGAGGATTCTCCATACTGATTTCCACACAGGTTGTACCAGGCTGCACTCACATCAGTAGTGGAGAAGGGTTCCTTTTTCCCCGCAGCCTCTCCAGCATTTGCTATTGGTAGATAGGTCTTTTAATTTTGGAGGGCTAATTTTTTAAATATTCCTTGTATATTCTAGATCAAAGTCCTTTATCTGATGGAGAGTCTGCTACAATTTTATTTTAAATTTGTGGGTTTCTTTTTTACTCTACTGGTTATTTCTTTTGGCATGTAGAAACTTTTAAAAAAGATGAGATCCCAGTTGTTGATTCTTTGAAGTATTTCCCATGCAGTTTGACTTTTGTTTGTGAACTCTTTTCCTAACCCTGTGTCCTTAAGGTCTGTACCTACTTTCTATTCCAGAAGATTTAGTGTTTCAGTTTTGATGTCTAAATCATTGATCCATGTTGAGTGTGGTTTAGTGCATGGTGATACACATGGGTCTGATTTTTATCTTTGGCATGTGGAAAGCCAGTAATTCCAGCACCATTTATGAAAGAGGTTTTTCTTTCCATTAAACATGTTTGGTCCTTTTGTCAAAGATAATGTGGCTGACTGTGTTTATAGTTGTGTCAACATCTTCTAATCTGTTCCATTGATCCTCAGGCCTAATTTTACATGTACCACACTGATTTTATCACAGTAGATTTATTTTTATAATTTCAATTATGGTATTGTGATGCCTCCTGCCCTTCCTTCATTACCCACTATTTCTTTTCCTATTATAGGTCTCTTCTGGTTGCAGATTAATTATAGAAATGTTTTGCCTAGATTTTTGAGATATAATAATTGTACTTTAATTGGGATTGCATTGAACGTGTTTAAAAATTTGAGAGTGTGATCATTTTCACAATGTTGGTTTTTCCAATCCATGAGCGAGAAATAGCTCTCCAATTTCTGCAATTTCTTCAATTTCTTTTTCCTGAATATTCTAATTTTCTTTTCATTTTTCAAGTGTTTCTCTCTCTCTCTCTCTCTCTCTCTCTCTCTCTCTCTCTCTCTCTCTTATTTTAGGGAAGGGTCTACAGGGTGTTCAGGGTCTCACTACTAGTTCGGACTCATAGTGATCCACCTGTTTACAGCCTCCCAAGAGCTGGGATTATAGGCATGCCACCCAGCCCAGACTGAATTGAGGTCTCAGCGTGCCCCAGAGTCAGGGCTGGCATGGCAGGCCCGGGGATCGAATCCCAGGACCCTGCGCCTGCTTGCAGACAGTTTAATCTGCTGAGCTATTTGCCTGGCCTCTCTTTTGTTTTATTTGAAGAGTAAAAACAAATAGTAGAAACTAAGAATGAAGGACAACATATGAGTTCACATATTACAGATTTTCAAAACGAAAATAGCTTATTAACAATTGTTATATTATCTATTTTTATCCTCAGATCTGTTGCTCAGATTAACAGAAATAGTTATGCAAAATTGGACAACTAATTAATTATTAGTGCTTGCTTTCAATAAATCTTAAGTTTTTCTATTTTCTTGTCTATTTTACTTTTTTAAAAAAATCATTTTATTTTATTTTGAAGAGTAAAAACAAGCAAAAATAGAGAAAAGATAGAAACAGAGTAACATAGAACAATACATGTTATGGATTTTCAAACCAAGAAAAGCTAATTAATAATAGTTGTTATATTACCTATTTTTATCATCAAATCCATTGCTCACATTAACAGATATAGTTAGGTAAGATTGGGGAAATAATTGAATATTGGCACTAATTTTCACTATATAAAGTTTTTCCTTCCTTTGTGAAATTGACTACTAAATATTTCTTTTTTGTGACCAGCTCAGCCCACTGCAGGGGTGGGGCTGGCAGGGCATGTAGTGCTGGGTATCCAACTGTGGTCCCTGCATGTTTGCTGAAGCATGCCTAAGCAGGTGCTTTACACCTCTGACTATCTCATGGGATCAATTCCTAAATATTTCATTTTCTGCAGTGTTACTGTGAAAGGCATGGTTTCCATAATCTGTCTCTCGATGTGTTCATTGTTTATGTATAGAAACGCTATTGATTTCTGAGTGCTGGCTTTATTCCAGCTATGCTACTGAATTTTGTTTCTGAATCTACAAGTCTCTTAGTGGAGTTTTTGGGATATTCTGTGTACAGTACCATGTCATCTGAAAAGAAAGATGATTTCTCTTTTTCCTTTCTAATCATTACTCCTTTTATTTATTTTCTTGTCTAATTGCTCTGGCTATTGTTTCCAGAACTCTATTGAACATTTTTGATTTTTTTTTTACTTTTTATTCATTTTAATGAGAAAAGAAGATAAAATAAGAATGAAACAGTTTCAAAACAGGTTAGTAGAACAGCTACAATAATTAATACATTGCATATTGTTGTCTTCATAATAGTTATTCAAAGGACAAGATGCAGACATGATATCTTGTCTAAACAATATTGGCCAGCCTTATCCCAGCACGACAACCATGCCCAAGAGAGGAAGGCGACTCAAGTCCCAGATCCGCGATGCCTTCTCTGGGAGAGTGACCATAGGGGATTATGCCCACTCAGATCTGGCAGCAAAGCGGTCTCGAAGGATTAAGAAAGCCAAGGCCAAAGCTATTCAGCAGGAAGTAAAGTCTCTCTGTGGCTTGGAAGACTCCCAGTTTCCTCCAGAAGAAGCCTTTTCTTGGGCTGGTGAACCCTGTGACATCATTGGTAGTAGTGATGAGATGGATGCCCAGGAGTAAAGCACCAAGGAGAGAAC